CTAGCAAGGAGATCGGGCTGAAACTATAGCTACAAGCTATCCAAGGATGGTACTATAGAATGTCACCTCAAGGTAGGCCTAGTGGCGTCATCTCTTGGTTAGGCCGGAAACTTATCAATCCACCCTCGTATAATAGTACGAAAATTGCTCATATTAACTTCTAATTTGTAGAGAATTCAGATTTGGTAGGTGAAATAAAAGTTTAACCGTTTTTGAACTATAGTCGGAGCAAGGACTTGTTGAAAATTTGATGATATGTACTTTTAGGTTATTCAATTTTGGGAAGCCTCTCAAAATTAAAATCTTAGTTTTTTTTTATTATTTACTAAGTTTAATACCACAACAACATCACTATCTGTGGAGATTTCGGCTAACTATCTTTTACCATAGAACCTTTCGTCCAGTGGCAGGGTACTTTTCCTTTTAAGTACGAAATCCTAAAAGCTTCCCTTGTTATTTCAGACTGAACCCAAGGAAAGTGAGCCCGGTCCTGCTTATAACTGTGTTTGCTCTTGATTTACCATAATGAGTTATTTGAATTTATTAAGCAATTTTTGAGTAGCAGACAAAAAGTTACGTTTATCTTCTTGGAAAATTTCATTTTATTTTATTTTACATTCAATATTTTTTTTTATTGTAAAAGGCTGCTTACGTACTCTATTAAATTCCTAAATTAATTGTCTATTTTGTTAGTTATCCAACAGGGAACTAAAAATTCGACTGTTTGTTTTTACTGTGTCGATATCGATATCAAGAATTAATTGATGTGATTGCTGTACTTGTAGGGATGAGTTATAGAAGAGTGATACTATAAAAAGTAATAGGCAGCTATAGAGCTGGGGCTGCAACGTAGAGAAATAAATATTAGGAAGGGAGTCAGACAGGGACGCACACTGTGCACAGACAGTACAACTGTAGGGATAGATATACAGGGGCAAAAGATTAGTATGGTTAGATTTGCTGATGATATAGAGGTATTAGCATCTAGCAAGGAGGTTGAAGATAGCTCTAAATACAATGGAAGCGGTATTGACAAAACAGTAGTGTATGAAAATAAACAAAAGGAAAATAAAAATACTGATATGAAAGGGAAGAAAAAGTAGGGAAAAAGCGAATATAAAGATAGGAGACGAAAAATTAGAAGAAATAGCTGATTTCAGGTATCTAAGAATTCAGATAAGTTAAGACGGAATGAGTTTTAGGGATATAAAGCAGAGTAGTCACTTCTATGCTCGCGAAACTATATCGGGTTGTTCGGAAAGTCATTTCGTTTTTCCCGACAGAGGATTTAACACCCAACTTCACATTTAAGCCGTATAATTTTTATATGCTTTGAGAGCTCATATAGCAAGGCTAGTGTGTGAAAAATTCCAAATAATTCTACGCAGTTGTTTTTGGTTGGTGCCCTTTTAAATATGGAGAGCTATAAACAGCATCTTCGACATATCTTACTGTTTTACTACAGAAAGGGTAAAAATGCTTATCAAGCCAGAAAGAAATTGACTGATGTGTATGGAGAAGGTATGTTGACAGTACGCCAGTGCCAGAACTGGTTCCCTAAATTTCGATCCGGCAATTTTGATGTCGAAGATGCACCACATTCGGGAAGGCCGGTTAAAGCTGATAAAGACGCGATAAAGGCATTAGTTGATGTGAACCGGCGAATAACAACACGTGAGATCGGATTGAGGTTAAATTTATCAAATTCAACAGTTTATGACCACTTGAAAGGCCTGGGATTATCCTCGAAGCTCGATGTATGGGTTCCCCATGTTCTCACAGAGAGAAATCTGTGTCGCCGCATTGACGTCTGCGATTCGCTTCTCAAACGTCACGAAAATGATCCGTTTTTGAAGCGCATCATCACTGGGGACGAAAAATGGGTTGTATACAACAACGTCAAACGCAAGAGGTCATGGAGCAAAAAAGATGAACCGGCTCAAACCATTTCCAAAGCCGATATTCACCAAAAAAAGGTGATGCTGTCTGTTTGGTGGGATTTTAAAGGAATCGTTTTTTTTGAGCTTTTACCGGATAACACAACGATTAATTCGGAAGTCTACTGTCATCAGCTGGACAAACTGAATGATGCACTTCAACAGAAAAGGTCAGAACTAATCAACAGGAAAGGTGTAGTGTTTCACCAAGACAACGCGAGACCTCACACAAGTTTGGTCACTCGCCAAAAGCTTTTACAGCTTGAATGGGATACAATGCTACACCCACCATATTCTCCAGACCTGGCACCATCGGATTATTATTTGTTCCGGTCACTCCAAAATTTTTTAGACGGTAAAACCTTCACCTCAAATGAGGAGGTCAAAAACCTCCTCGATCAGTTTTTTGCCAGCAAAGACCAAAAATTTTATGAGCGTGGAATTATGCTACTACCAGAAAGATGGCAAAAGGTGTTGGACCAGAACGGTCAATATATAATTTAATAAAGTATTTGTTTATTATACGAAAACTGTCTTTCATTTCCACAACAAAAAACGAAATGACTTTCCGAACAACCCTATATTAATTTGGAAATTGGAAACAGATTGTTAAAGGTGTAGTATGTTTGGAACGCGGCGCTGTATTGGTGTGAAGCATGCACGGTTAGCGCGGGGGAAAGCAAAGGTTAGAAGCGTTCGAAATGTGGTGCTACAGGCGAATGATGAGGATACCGTGGATAAAGAAGGATAGAAATGAAGAGGTATTAGAAAGAATAGGAGAACAGAGGACTCTGTAGAAGTCAATAAGAAATAGGAGAGATAGTCTAGTCTGAGACATGAACTTAAGAGGAGTAGAGGTAGACCTAGATTATTGTTCGCAAATAGTTAAGGATGTGGGATGTTCCAGTTTTAGGGAAATGCGAAGATTAGCTCAGGATAGAAGGATGTGTCCAACCAGTCTTCGGACTGACGACCTTATGATGATGATAAGTGGTGTAGTTAATGAATAGCTGGAATGTTATAAATTAATTTTATTTACATCTTATTGAGTAATATCAGAAACAAAACTTATCAGTAGGATATCTATACCGCTTAATAGTAAAAATGAAGGAGTAATTTAAAATTTGCTACTAAATTGAGAGTGCCCCTCAATATAAGAGGATTTACAAATTTTTGTTAGTAAAGTTCCAGTCTTCTTTGATTATATCTGCTCCCTTTTCGGCAATCATATATGTAGGAGCCATCGTATGGGCAGCAGGGATGACAGGCATAATCGACGAATCTACAACCCTTAGCTTTCCTACTCCATATACTTGTAATTTTGGGTTTACTACAGCATTCGGATCATAACTTGGTCCCATTTTGCACGTCCCACATACATGGTACATGGGTAAACTCAACTGACGTACCATACACGCCCAATACGCATCTGTACCAAACTCATTTCTATTGCAATTTGGTATGGATTTATTGTATAGTTGTGCCCCCAATGCTTGCATTTCTGGTTGTTTAACAATATTCAGAAGCAATTTAATGCCATCAACAAGTCTTTCTAAGTCTTCGTCTGACTCCAAATAATTCGGATTGATTAGCGGTTTCGATAAATAATGGTAGTCTTTAAGTCTTACCCATCCTTTGCTTTCCGGAAGAAGAAGCATTACAAATACCATAAAGGATTGCCGTCCAATTATAGGCCCGTAGTACTCATCGTAGATGTTTCGGTCGATGTTGAAGACATCGGAAAATAATGATGAAGAGGCAAGAGATACTGGGATGTATTGGTATTCTATATCGCAACGTGCATTCGGATTGATCGGATCTTTCGTGTTGTGGAAACTTACAGTTTCGCAGCCTCCGGCAACAGACAGAGGACCTTCACGTTCTATTGTGTATTCTATCAAGTCTCGCACAGTTGTAGAATCTGAAATGTTGTCTAGAAAAACCATTCCGCCGGCGGCAACGTGGTCCATGAGATTATAGCCCACTTTCAGGTCCTTTTTTACAGTTATACCGATCTCCGTCAAGTGTTCCTTCGGTCCTATTCCAGATAACATTAGTAATTTAGGAGAATTGATGGCTCCAGCACAAATTATCACTTCTTTACTCGCATTTACGGTATGTGTTATACCATACTGTACGAATTCCACCCCATAGGTCGTCATTGTGTTAGGATCAATTAATATTCTTGTAACAAGTGAATTCATTTTTAAGTAAAAGTTAGTTCGATGTACAATGGGATCTGTGTACGCTCTTCGTGCGCTTACCCTCTCTCCATTACTGATTGTTGTTTGGAACAGTGAAGTTCCCGCCTGATTCTTGCCATTGTAGTCAACCTTTTTGGTTCCAAATTTAATTTCCGCGTTCAAGGCAGCTTCCGCCGTAGAGCTGTAGTATTCTGGAAAATTGATTGGGAGACAGCCGTTTGTTGAATGCCACTGAGGGTCGTTGTGTTCAGTAATATTAAAATATTCAACTTTCTTGAAGTAAGGAAGAACGTCGTCGTACGACCAACCCGTGTTACCCAATTCCTCCCAACCGTCAAAGTCTTGATGGGTTCCGCGAGTGTACAGCATGAAGTTGATAACACTTGACCCTCCTACTGCTTTACCTTGAGGAATATTACACTGGTGTTCTTTCATTGCTTGGCACGCTTTGCTACTAGAAACCGTTTGATAATCCCAGTTGGCAGCGGTTTCCTGAAGTCCCAGAGCGCATGCAGGAATGTTCATGTAATGTCGTTCCAGGTGACCTAAAAATTAAGAAACATCTCTCAGTTTTTGGCAATGAAAGTGGGACATGGAAATATCTTTTACCTGCTTCTATAAGAAGCACGTTCCAGTCAGGGTTCTCTGTTAGGCGATTAGCTACTACAGATCCAGCTACACCAGCCCCTACCACTATGAAGTCAAATTGATGAAGAAAATATAAAAAGTCATCATGCGGTTTATTCAGTGGATTCAGAATCGATTCAAATACGTCAGCCAGTGTTTGTCCATGAATGCGCATGGCAAGATACAACACGCCAACAAATATACGTTGGACATTAATGTTCATTCTTTACCTGAAATTATTAAAAACGTGCACTATTAACGTTTTATGTATTGACTCATATTATGGACATTTATCTTCAAGAAAATTATTCCTCCAAACGTTGACTTCTTCAGGCAAGTACAAGGAAAAAGTTTGCTAATGCTAGTAGGCGGGTAATCCCTGAAACACTGCATCTGCTTAAACCATCCCTTAAAACCGGTGTCCTTTAAGACGCGATCAACATCATTAAAGACAGTGCAACTGTAGAGATGGATATATAAGATTAGTATGACTAGATTTCCAGATGATATAGCAGAATTAGCATCTAGCAAGGAGGAGTTGGAGAAAGAAAATGGAAGCGGTATTGACGAAACAGTATTGTATGAGAATTAATAAATGTAAAACGAAAATACTAGTATGCAAGGGAAAAAAAGTAGTGAAAGAGCGAATATAAAGATAGGAGACGAAAAAGTAGAAGAAGTGGCTGATTTTAAAGTATCTAGGGAGTCAGATAAGTCAGGAGGGAAGGAGTAGTAGAGATATAAAGCAGAGGATAGCGCAAAGTAGAGTCGCCTTCAATAAAAAAGAAGTTTGGAGCGCGTCGCTGTACGGGCACGAACATAAATGGTGGGCGCGGCGGAAAAGAAAAGGTTAGAAGCTTTCGAAGTGTGGTGTTATAGGCGAATGATGAGGATACTGTGGATAGAGAAGGTTAGAAATGAAGAGGTATTAGATAGAGTAGGAGAACAGAGGACTGTATGGAACTCAATAAAAAATAGGCGAGATAGGACCAGGTCTAGTCAGAGATATATTAGAGGCAGAAACAGGAGTCAGGAGGGGTAGAAGTAGACCTAGATTAGATTACTGTTCGCAAATAGTTAATAATGTGGGATGTTCTAGTTTTAGAGAAATGGGACGATTAGCTCAGGATAAGAAGGGTGGAGATACGTATCCAACCAGTCGTAGGACTGACGACCTTATGGTGATGATACAATGGTAGCTAATTGAAAACCGACCAAAGGTATATTCTATTATTTGCAGAGATTAGAAGATGACATTATCTTTCGAGAATTACCTAAAACTATTGAGGGATTTTACGCTTGGTTCAAACGATTTACACTTTCATTCGTGCTTAAATTGTTTTTGCTTAGCGTCCTCAAAAACACTATTAAAGTATTTTTTCTAAATCATTATCGATGTCTAAAATATAGGGTTGTTCGGAAAGTCATTTCGTTTTTTTGTGGAAATGAATGACAGTTTTCGTATAATAAACAAATACTTTATTAAATTATATATTGACCGTTCTGGTCCAACACCTTTTGCCATCTTTCTGGTAGTAGCATAATTCCACGCTCATAAAATTTTTGGTCTTTGCTGGCAAAAAACTGATCGAGGAG